CGATGGATCAATAGAGCCTGAGTTCATTGATACATGTGATAATTATATACCGGATTTGATAATTATAGACATCAAATGCAAATGTTTTACACAATGCTCATGTAAATTGTATAGAAAACTGACAACTGAAATCAACATGAAACTTTCAACAGCTTGAAGAAAAATGCTTGAAATACCTTAGTATGGTTTACATGTAATAGCTTATAATATTACTTCTGTTTAGGTGTGAGAATTTTTTGAATTACCAACTGACTGTGTTTTGTAACAAACGTAAAAGATTTCATTGTTGTAATAACACTGACATGTATATATATTCAATGCGAAGGCGCGACTTATCACTTTATATTCGATTAGGTAACATTATCAACTTTACATTATGGAAAATAACTAGTTACAATTCAGTAAGCTTCAAAGTAGTAAGTTAAATTATGCCTATTCTATTCGAGCTCGTATGTATAATTATTTGTGTTTATACATTATGTTTTATTATATGAAACATCACCATGTAATAATACCTAAAAATTAAATTCAAACTATTTTATTGTGTTTGAATTCTTTGTATGTCCTTGAAATTTCATGTATATTTTTTCCTATTTATTAGGAAGTTAAAGAAAATATAATCTTCAGTAACCCCGAAACCATTACATCTAGTTGAATCAATGTGCATAAGTTAGGCAGAGCCTCTCCAATTCCACTGGCAATAACACAGACAGTTATTGCACACCTGTAACGATGTGGCTGCTGAAATTCTCATTTTTGTATTGATTTAAAATAAAAAATAAAATATAATAACTTAAATGGAGCTATATTTAATTGAAAGAACTTGCCTAACCCTAATAAAGGAAAATGCTTTTCACCATACTGCAGGTAAGTGTGTCTGTGTGTCTGTGTGTGTGTGTCTGTGTGTGTGTGTGTGTGTGTGTGTGTGTGTGTGTGTGTGTGTGTGTCTGTGTCTGTCCCTGTCCTACATGAGTGAAAGGTTAAAGTGGCAGGAAGTGATTGGTCCTGATTCCCTATCTTGTAACCTGACATTTTTTAAACGAACAATAAACATCACAAATTGTACTCCCCAATGGATAAACAGCCTGTCTCACTTAGGTGAAGGACTTAAAAGAACATGATAGCCTTATCACGCTAAAAGATGTGTGGATTTGGTTTTAAAATGATAATCTTGCATGATTTAGGTGTGAGAACTGGACCCTGTGTCAAAACCTTGTTACCCATATGTGAACAAATATCTGTGAAATCATGAATTAGAAGTACACAACTGGTTCAGAAAGCTCCACAAAATGTCATGAGAAATATAAAGAAGGTCACGTGTAAAGTGATGATATTGTTCCAGTTTTCTCCACTTCACAGTGCTCCTGTATCTCAGATATCATTTGCTTGGTGAGATACACGCCATACGTCAGTACATCAGAGGTCAGTTGTTAATCAGTCATAAGTACAAGTGTTGGAGCAGGAAATCATAAATTAAAACTGATGTACACAATATAAAAAAGTGACAAGGTAAATAAATTGTAGGCTATGTAATACAAAACACATGTCACTTCGAAGATTTGCTGATAGTAATATAATGTTGAATGCTGTATTTAGCTGTCAGGATATTATGGAGGTTAGCATGTAAAATACAGCTATCATTGACGAACAATAAATGGCCTTTCAACATTGTAGTGTTGAAACATAAACGTAGTAGAACACATGTACACCCTAGGATAATGGAACCATCAGCTTTTTCATCCTAATTGTGTATATACCAAAGTTCAAGCATTGTTCAATCATGATAATAATGTGCATTGTGCAGTGGTCAGGTTGAGTTGGTAGCAGGTGATTGTACCATGCTTCAGGTGGCACATGATTCTTGATATGCCCAAGTGGATATATACCTCAGCCCGTCACCAGAACAGGCCAAAAAGCCACACACTGAATACAATAGCACTTTCATAATTGAAAGTCTGGTGAAACATGAAATTATGTAAATTTGAAGTTACATTGTGAAATTGATCCAGTCTTGGTAAAAAAATAATAAGAACAGGCACTAGTCAAACAGCTGTATACTTTTGTTTTCGTTATTTCTTACTTCATATATATATATATATATATATACTGGCTGTAAAGTAAATCTTGCAGCACGAAGATATATCATATATGTTCACTAGAATGTACTGTTGGGAAAAGAACCCCTGAAGGTCCAGGTTAGAATATTGATGTTGAGTAACCGCCTCAATATATACCTGGAATATTGCTGAGTATGGCGCTCACCTCACCTCACCTCACCTCACCTCACCACACCTCACCACAACTCACTCACTGTTGGGAAAAGCCATGGGAGATATGATGGGAAATTAAGCAGGCCAAGTGGCGCCAAGGCATCCCACATGCACATGTTGAGATGTAGATACAGCATGCTTGGTATAGATCCAACATGCCCTGGGTATTTTGTTATTGACATGTCAGTGCATTCTTACCTTTTCGTTTTCCACTGCTATCTATGGTGAAACGGTGAATAAACGTGTACAACTTGCCTCTGTGTGTGGGGAATCGGTAAGAAACGGCGCGAGTGTCTGTTTGATGGAGCGGCCATAATCGTCCTCGCGCTTTTCTTCTGTTTGTCGTATGCTTTGCAAGGGTAATCTCCCGTATCGTAAATGTCGGAAAAACTTATGACCGATTTTGTTCTGTATCCCTGGGCCGTCGGTGATATAAAGTAGTCCCCATTTTTGACATCAGTCAAAACTTTGAGGTTTTGAGTGTTAGTATTATTGATCGTGACTGGTACGTTGTTTGAAGCTTTTCTGCGGGATATTTGGAACGGCGTGCCTTGAGTTTTGGGTGAGTTTGTTTGGCACTCTTTTCTTTCCATTTGGGGCACGTCCCAAATAGGAGTTGTTTGATTTGTTTGAAGAGTCGTCGTTGGGTCTACGGTCCAAACAATTAGTGTTCTGGAATTGCCGTGATCATAGCTATCTGATCCATAGACTCATGTGCATAGAGTGCATATGTTAAAGAACCATTCAAAATTTTGAAATGAGTTTGTACAGCAAATGGCTGTCTAAGCACTCTGCCGAGGCCTGATAACAACGTGATTTCTTGTCACAACTGGCTATAAACATCGCTAAAACACCTAAAAACTTATACATACCATAGGAAATGGTAATAAATAGCCACCTGTGAAAAATATACACATACGAATATGTATTTTCGTGTATAAAGTGTAAAAACACCAAACGTAATGCTTGGTTGTCTTCTCACAGGTCCGCGCGCGTGCTATATAAAGTCACATTGCGCTGGCGAGGGCATTCAGTCTGTATTTCTCACAGCGCAATCATGTCTGGTCGTGGTAAAGGAGGTAAAGGTCTTGGAGAAAGGGGGGCGCTAAGCGTCACAGGAAGGTTTTGCGTGATAACATCCAGGGTATCACCAAGCCCGCCATCCGTCGTCTGGCAAGAAGAGGTGGTGTAAAGCGTATCTCTGGTCTGATCTACGAAGAGACCCGTGGTGTACTCAAGGTTTTCCTTGAGAATGTCATCCGTGATGCCGTCACCTACACCGAGCATGCTAAGAGGAAGACAGTCACTGCCATGGATGTCGTCTACGCTTTGAAACGCCAGGGACGTACCCTCTACGGATTCGGAGGTTGAAAACTTTGTTTTCACCAACACTCACAACGGTCCTTTTCAGGACCACCAAATTTCACAAAAGAATGCTTTTAGCATGTGATGAAAACAGTTACGTCTTTGATATGTACGTGATTTGAAACACAACAACGAAAACAATACCTAAACATTCTATTATTTTATTTAAATGCGTGAAAAGTATTTAGTTTGTAGTTCGTTATACACCACAATATTTATTAATCCCCGTGCTTACCCCTCAGTAATATGGACACCTGGCATTCAGGAAGTGAATGTCTAGTTTTTCGTAATGGGTGTATGGAATCGCACACCTACATAGATGCAAATAAACAAACTAAACAAACTAAACAAACTAATCAACCAATCAACGAATCAAGCGTCTATCAGAAGTGATTCACACCATATAGCAACCTGCAGTTGTGATTCTTGCAATCGGTACGCCGGTAACCCCGGTGTAGTAAGCGTCGCATGTCATTCATAATCTATTGCAATCACACTTGTGTAATGTCGCCATAATAAGATAGTCTTGTTGGCTGTTTTAGGGATGTGATACTCCCTGTAGTTAGTGTGGGTCGACAGACCCCGGTGTCACCCACAGTATATGTCAACATTGTTTTCTATTTAATGACATACCTATGATCGTTTAAGTTCATCATGTATATGTTAAATCATAACTACTATGTACTGTTTTATGTATTAGTAGTAATAATAATAATAATAGTAATAATATATATAATGTATGTATATTATTAGTCGTATTTAGTATGTAATAGATTAGGTGCACACTCCATCCAGACGGCGCGCGCCCGCCGTCCCGTCCCGTCCCGTCCCTGTCCTGTCCTGTCCCGTCCCGTCCCGCACCTCCCTTCGCGTCCCGCACCTCCCTTCGCGTCCCGCACCTCCCTCCGAGTCCCGCACCTCCCTCCGCGTCCCACCCGTCTCTCTCTCTCCGTCGCCCGTCTCCAAGCCAAAGCGAGCCGAGCCGCGACAGCCCGACCCGACCCGACCCGCCCCGCCCGACCCGACTCGCGACGCGCGACCGCCCGACCCGACCCAAGCGCGCGGACACCAAGCCCAAGCTGACCATGCACTATACTATACTATACTATACTATACTATACTATACTATACTATACTATACTATATACTATACTATACTATACTATACTATACTATACTATACTATACTATACTATACTATACTATACTATACTATACTATACTATACATTTCACTACAAAACCATATCTATATCTGTCGCTACCGCAAGTAGGGTAAATAACTTGCGTTGAAATCAGGTGACATTACCCTTTATTTTGCACGCTGGAGGTAAGTCATACATTGTTTATTACATCATCCGCAGGGTTAAGGTTTCATAGTCGTCGCTATTAATATGATTACACATTCATTCATTGATTCATTCATTGTTTTCATCATGTTTTCAAGTGTTCTTTTGTGAGATTTGGGTGGTCCTGAAAAGGACCGTTGGATGTAAGTATAAGTTCTAATGAACTGTCTACTTGAGCTGGTGTACTTGGTGACAGCCTTGGTGCCCTCAGAGACGGCGTGCTTGGCCAGTTCACCGGGGAGGAGGAGGCGGACAGCAGTTTGTATCTCCCGAGAGGTGATGGTGGATCGCTTGTTGTAATGGGCGAGACGGGATGCCTCAGCGGCGATTCTCTCGAAGATATCGTTAACAAAGCTGTTCATGATGGACATAGCCTTGCTGCTGATACCGGTATCAGGGTGGACCTGTTTCAACACCTTGTAGATGTAGATGCTGTAACTTTCCTTCCTCCTCCTCTTCTTCTTCTTGTCGCCGACGCGGGCGGCCTTTGCCTTACCGGCCTTCTTTGCTCCTTTAGAACTAACTTTGGGTGGCATGTTGAGTTACTCAAGCAGTGCTAGAATAATGTAGGGCCGCCGACTGGCGAACGCTTATATACGGCAAGAAACAGGATCGAAATCTACCAGCGGCGATAGCTCGCGCGGACGTCGTAGAAGACAACCTCCCGCCCCGCTACCTTGGATTTCGATCCGGTTTGCGCTGAGTATAAAAGGGAGGGTTGTGGGAACAGTCTCGCTATTCGTTTTGCATCTCTCTACAGACAATAAGCGACAATGTCAGGACGTGGTAAAGGCGGAAAAGTAAAGGGCAAGTCCAAGTCCCGATCCTCCCGGGCCGGACTTCAGTTCCCCGTTGGACGTATCCACCGTCTCCTCCGTAAAGGCAACTATGCCGAGCGCGTGGGTGCCGGAGCCCCAGTCTACCTGGCTGCCGTTCTGGAATACCTCGCCGCTGAGGTTCTCGAGTTGGCAGGTAACGCCGCCAGAGACAACAAGAAGACCAGAATCATCCCCAGACATCTGCAGCTGGCCATCAGGAACGACGAGGAGTTGAACAAGCTTCTGTCCGGAGTAACCATCGCCCAGGGTGGTGTCCTCCCCAACATCCAGGCTGTTCTTCTCCCCAAGAAGACCCAGAAGTCTGCTGGAAAGTAAATTTTCTGCCAGCTTTCTTATCCAACGGTCCTTTTCAGGACCACCAAATCTCACAAAAGAATGCTTGAAAACTCGATGAAAAACAAGTAAATGCTTGCAAATATAACTCCCTGACCTATTCCTCCCTAACTACTTTACTCCATATAAATTTTAATAGCATCGCAAATCACAACACAACACAACACCAGAAAGACAGACAGACAGACAGACAGACAGACAGACATAAACTACAACACTTCTCTTAACACGGCGGGGCTTGTGCTGAATTAAAAGGTGGGGGGGGGGGGAGTACACGCACGGGTATACCCGTCTGTTCGGTTTTCAAAATTGACACTCGAACAACCCAAGTTTCTGAACCCTAACACACACACACACCCTCCACCCCAACACACACACCCCACCCCCAGAACCGTACACCCCCTAACACTAGGCCCCTAACCCTAGCTAACCCTAACCCTAACCCTAACCCTAACCCTAACCCTAACGCTAGCTACATACAATAACTACTATTCTTCCTTCCCTGCAATATGGCCGATAATTTGCATTATCAGTCAGCTGTTATACTGTATATTCAAAAACTATCGAAAATGTATATTTGTTTGTCGTGGGCTTGTTCCACGAAAATACCAAGAGCTCTCCCTCCACGTACAGTGTAAGGGGGACAACTCTTGGGGTTTTATCAGAGAAATATCAGGAGCGTGTGCTGTGTGCCGACAGAAATACTGTAGTACATTCACAAATGCAGAATGTGATAAACTTTTTTGCAAGTGTGCAATGCATAGGTGTGCGTCGGATGAGGGTTAGGGTTATTAATTTGTACATTCGTAATGAAGCCGTTATAAGTGTACAATGTATAGCTATGGATCGACTGTGTGTTATGGCTAGGGTTGGGTGTTGGGTGTGGGTGTGGGCTTGGGGCTGGCTCTTTATATATGCACGTGTGTGTGTGTGTGTGTCTTTGTTTTACATTCGTAATATTGTGTGTGTATGTATGTATGTATGTGTCGGGGGTCGGCTCTATTCATGTTCACCCATTCCTTGTGACTATTAGAATTATTTATTTTAGCTGATGGTGTTAGGTTTTCAACCATGTGATCAAGCATTCTTTTGTGACATTTGGTGGTCCTGAAAAGGACCGTTATGATAGTTGTGAGCAGACTGCTGTTTAAGCTCTCTCCCCACGGATACGGCGGGCCAGCTGGATGTCCTTGGGCATGATGGTGACACGCTTGGCGTGGATGGCGCACAAGTTAGTGTCCTCAAACAGACCAACAAGGTAAGCCTCGGAAGCCTCCTGCAGAGCCATGACTGCTGAAGACTGGAAACGGAGGTCAGTCTTGAAGTCCTGGGCGATTTCACGGACCAGACGCTGGAAGGGCAGCTTTCTGATCAAAAGCTCAGTGCTCTTCTGGTAACGACGGATCTCACGAAGAGCTACGGTACCGGGCCTGTATCTGTGAGGTTTCTTTACACCTCCGGTAGCCGGGGCGCTCTTACGAGCAGCCTTGGTGGCCAGTTGTTTACGGGGAGCCTTTCCTCCGGTGGATTTACGGGCTGTCTGCTTTGTACGTGCCATCTCGATTCACAAGTGAAACTGAGGCACACAACTCTACTGCTCGCTCTCTTGAAGTCGGACTTGCGCGGGGAAGCCAGTGATTGGTCTATAATCAGCTGTCCTGATTGGCTGTGTTTACGTTCGCTCTCGTACGGTTAAGCCCCGTCTGTGTTAGTGAGTTTGTACAGCAAATGGCTGTCTAAGCACTCTGCCGAGGCCTGATAACAACGTGATTTCTTGTCACAACTGGCTATAAACATCGCTAAAACACCTAAAAACTTATACATACCATAGGAAATGGTAATAAATAGCCACCTGTGAAAAATATACACATACGAATATGTATTTTCGTGTATAAAGTGTAAAAACACCAAACGTAATGCTTGGTTGTCTTCTCACAGGTCCGCGCGCGTGCTATATAAAGTCACATTGCGCTGGCGAGGGCATTCAGTCTGTATTTCTCACAGCGCAATCATGTCTGGTCGTGGTAAAGGAGGTAAAGGTCTTGGAAAGGGGGGCGCTAAGCGTCACAGGAAGGTTTTGCGTGATAACATCCAGGGTATCACCAAGCCCGCCATCCGTCGTCTGGCAAGAAGAGGTGGTGTAAAGCGTATCTCTGGTCTGATCTACGAAGAGACCCGTGGTGTACTCAAGGTTTTCCTTGAGAATGTCATCCGTGATGCCGTCACCTACACCGAGCATGCTAAGAGGAAGACAGTCACTGCCATGGATGTCGTCTACGCTTTGAAACGCCAGGGACGTACCCTCTACGGATTCGGAGGTTGAAAACTTTGTTTTCACCAACACTCACAACGGTCCTTTTCAGGACCACCAAATTTCACAAAAGAATGCTTTTAGCATGTGATGAAAACAGTTACGTCTTTGATATGTACGTGATTTGAAACACAACAACGAAAACAATACCTAAACATTCTATTATTTTATTTAAATGCGTGAAAAGTATTTAGTTTGTAGTTCGTTATACACCACAATATTTATTAATCCCCGTGCTTACCCCTCAGTAATATGGACACCTGGCATTCAGGAAGTGAATGTCTAGTTTTTCGTAATGGGTGTATGGAATCGCACACCTACATAGATGCAAATAAACAAACTAAACAAACTAAACAAACTAATCAACCAATCAACGAATCAAGCGTCTATCAGAAGTGATTCACACCATATAGCAACCTGCAGTTGTGATTCTTGTAATCGGTACGCCGGTAACCCCGGTGTAGTAAGCGTCGCATGTCATTCATAATCTATTGCAATCACACTTGTGTAATGTCGCCATAATAAGATAGTCTTGTTGGCTGTTTTAGGGATGTGATACTCCCGTAGTTAGTGTGGGTCGACAGACCCCGGTGTCACCCACAGTATATGTCAACATTGTTTTCTATTTAATGACATACCTATGATCGTTTAAGTTCATCATGTATATGTTAAATCATAACTACTATGTACTGTTTTATGTATTAGTAGTAATAATAATAATAATAGTAATAATATATATAATGTATGTATATTATTAGTCGTATTTAGTATGTAATAGATTAGGTGCACACTCCATCCAGACGCGCGCGCCCGCCCGTCCCCCGTCCCGCCTGTCCTGTCCCGTCCCGTCCCGCACCTCCCTTCGCGTCCCGCACCTCCCTTCGCGTCCCGCACCTCCCTCCGAGTCCCGCACCTCCCTCCGCGTCCCACCCGTCTCTCTCTCCGTCGCCCGTCTCCAAGCCAAAGCGAGCCGAGCCGCGACAGCCCGACCCGACCCGACCCGCCCCGCCGACCCGACTCGCGACGCGCGACCGCCCGACCCGACCCAAGCGCGCGGACACCAAGCCCAAGCTGACCATGCACTATACTATACTATACTATACTATACTATACTATACTATACTATACTATACTATACTATACTATACTATACTATACTATACTATACTATACTATACTATACTATACTATACTATACTATACTATACATTTCACTACAAAACCATATCTATATCTGTCGCTACCGCAAGTAGGGTAAATAACTTGCGTTGAAATCAGGTGACATTACCCTTTATTTTGCACGCTGGAGGTAAGTCATACATTGTTTATTACATCATCCGCAGGGTTAAGGTTTCATAGTCGTCGCTATTAATATGATTACGCACATTCATTCATTGATTCATTCATTGTTTTCATCATGTTTTCAAGTGTTCTTTTGTGAGATTTGGGTGGTCCTGAAAAGGACCGTTGGATGTAAGTATAAGTTCTAATGAACTGTCTACTTGGAGCTGGTGTACTTGGTGACAGCCTTGGTGCCCTCAGAGACGGCGTGCTTGGCCAGTTCACCGGGGAGGAGGAGGCGGACAGCAGTTTGTATCTCCCGAGAGGTGATGGTGGATCGCTTGTTGTAATGGGCGAGACGGGATGCCTCAGCGGCGATTCTCTCGAAGATATCGTTAACAAAGCTGTTCATGATGGACATAGCCTTGCTGCTGATACCGGTATCAGGGTGGACCTGTTTCAACACCTTGTAGATGTAGATGCTGTAACTTTCCTTCCTCCTCCTCTTCTTCTTCTTGTCGCCGACGCGGGCGGCCTTTGCCTTACCGGCCTTCTTTGCTCCTTTAGAACTAACTTTGGGTGGCATGTTGAGTTACTCAAGCAGTGCTAGAATAATGTAGGGCCGCCGACTGGCGAACGCTTATATACGGCAAGAAACAGGATCGAAATCTACCAGCGGCGATAGCTCGCGCGGACGTCGTAGAAGACAACCTCCCGCCCCGCTACCTTGGATTTCGATCCGGTTTGCGCTGAGTATAAAAGGGAGGGTTGTGGGAACAGTCTCGCTATTCGTTTTGCATCTCTACAGACAATAAGCGACAATGTCAGGACGTGGTAAAGGCGGAAAAGTAAAGGGCAAGTCCAAGTCCCGATCCTCCCGGGCCGGACTTCAGTTCCCCGTTGGACGTATCCACCGTCTCCTCCGTAAAGGCAACTATGCCGAGCGCGTGGGTGCCGGAGCCCCAGTCTACCTGGCTGCCGTTCTGGAATACCTCGCCGCTGAGGTTCTCGAGTTGGCAGGTAACGCCGCCAGAGACAACAAGAAGACCAGAATCATCCCCAGACATCTGCAGCTGGCCATCAGGAACGACGAGGAGTTGAACAAGCTTCTGTCCGGAGTAACCATCGCCCAGGGTGGTGTCCTCCCCAACATCCAGGCTGTTCTTCTCCCCAAGAAGACCCAGAAGTCTGCTGGAAAGTAAATTTTCTGCCAGCTTTTATCCAACGGTCCTTTTCAGGACCACCAAATCTCACAAAAGAATGCTTGAAAACTCGATGAAAAACAAGTAAATGCTTGCAAATATAACTCCCTGACCTATTCCTCCCTAACTACTTTACTCCATATAAATTTTAATAGCATCGCAAATCACAACACAACACAACACCAGAAAGACAGACAGACAGACAGACAGACAGACAGACATAAACTACAACACTTCTCTTAACACGGCGGGGCTTGTGCTGAATTAAAAGGTGGGGGGGGGGGGAGTACACGCACGGGTATACCCGTCTGTTCGGTTTTCAAAATTGACACTCGAACAACCCAAGTTTCTGAACCCTAACACACACACACACCCTCCACCCCAACACACACACCCCACCCCCAGAACCGTACACCCCCTAACACTAGGCCCCTAACCCTAGCTAACCCTAACCCTAACCCTAACCCTAACCCTAACGCTAGCTACATACAATAACTACTATTCTTCCTTCCCTGCAATATGGCCGATAATTTGCATTATCAGTCAGCTGTTATACTGTATATTCAAAAACTATCGAAAATGTATATTTGTTTGTCGTGGGCTTGTTCCACGAAAATACCAAGAGCCTCCTCCACGTACAGTGTAAGGGGACAACTCTTGGGGTTTTATCAGAGAAATATCAGGAGCGTGTGCTGTGTGCCGACAGAAATACTGTAGTACATTCACAAATGCAGAATGTGATAAACTTTTGCAAGTGTGCAATGCATAGGTGTGCGTCGGATGAGGGTTAGGGTTATTAATTTGTACATTCGTAATGAAGCCGTTATAAGTGTACAATGTATAGCTATGGATCGACTGTGTGTTATGGCTAGGGTTGGGTGTTGGGTGTGGGTGTGGGCTTGGGGCTGGCTCTTTATATATGCACGTGTGTGTGTGTGTGTGTGTGTGTCTTTGTTTTACATTCGTAATATTGTGTGTGTATGTATGTATGTATGTGTCGGGGGCGGCTCTATTCATGTTCACCCATTCCTTGTGACTATTAGAATTATTTATTTTAGCTGATGGTGTTAGGTTTTCAACCATGTGATCAAGCATTCTTTTGTGACATTTGGTGGTCCTGAAAAGGACCGTTATGATAGTTGTGAGCAGACTGCTGTTTAAGCCTCTCCCCACGGATACGGCGGGCCAGCTGGATGTCCTTGGGCATGATGGTGACACGCTTGGCGTGGATGGCGCACAAGTTAGTGTCCTCAAACAGACCAACAAGGTAAGCCTCGGAAGCCTCCTGCAGAGCCATGACTGCTGAAGACTGGAAACGGAGGTCAGTCTTGAAGTCCTGGGCGATTTCACGGACCAGACGCTGGAAGGGCAGCTTTCTGATCAAAAGCTCAGTGCTCTTCTGGTAACGACGGATCTCACGAAGAGCTACGGTACCGGGCCTGTATCTGTGAGGTTTCTTTACACCTCCGGTAGCCGGGGCGCTCTTACGAGCAGCCTTGGTGGCCAGTTGTTTACGGGGAGCCTTTCCTCCGGTGGATTTACGGGCTGTCTGCTTTGTACGTGCCATCTCGATTCACAAGTGAAACTGAGGCACACAACTCTACTGCTCGCTCTCTTGAAGTCGGACTTGCGCGGGGAAGCCAGTGATTGGTCTATAATCAGCTGTCCTGATTGGCTGTGTTTACGTTCGCTCTCGTACGGTTAAGCCCCGTCTGTGTTAGTGAGTTTGTACAGCAAATGGCTGTCTAAGCACTCTGCCGAGGCCTGATAACAACGTGATTTCTTGTCACAACTGGCTATAAACATCGCTAAAACACCTAAAAACTTATACATACCATAGGAAATGGTAATAAATAGCCACCTGTGAAAAATATACACATACGAATATGTATTTTCGTGTATAAAGTGTAAAAACACCAAACGTAATGCTTGGTTGTCTTCTCACAGGTCCGCGCGCGTGCTATATAAAGTCACATTGCGCTGGCGAGGGCATTCAGTCTGTATTTCTCACAGCGCAATCATGTCTGGTCGTGGTAAAGGAGGTAAAGGTCTTGGAAAGGGGGGCGCTAAGCGTCACAGGAAGGTTTTGCGTGATAACATCCAGGGTATCACCAAGCCCGCCATCCGTCGTCTGGCAAGAAGAGGTGGTGTAAAGCGTATCTCTGGTCTGATCTACGAAGAGACCCGTGGTGTACTCAAGGTTTTCCTTGAGAATGTCATCCGTGATGCCGTCACCTACACCGAGCATGCTAAGAGGAAGACAGTCACTGCCATGGATGTCGTCTACGCTTTGAAACGCCAGGGACGTACCCTCTACGGATTCGGAGGTTGAAAACTTTGTTTTCACCAACACTCACAACGGTCCTTTTCAGGACCACCAAATTTCACAAAAGAATGCTTTTAGCATGTGATGAAAACAGTTACGTCTTTGATATGTACGTGATTTGAAACACAACAACGAAAACAATACCTAAACATTCTATTATTTTATTTAAATGCGTGAAAAGTATTTAGTTTGTAGTTCGTTATACACCACAATATTTATTAATCCCCGTGCTTACCCCTCAGTAATATGGACACCTGGCATTCAGGAAGTGAATGTCTAGTTTTTCGTAATGGGTGTATGGAATCGCACACCTACATAGATGCAAATAAACAAACTAAACAAACTAAACAAACTAATCAACCAATCAACGAATCAAGCGTCTATCAGAAGTGATTCACACCATATAGCAACCTGCAGTTGTGATTCTTGTAATCGGTACGCCGGTAACCCCGGTGTAGTAAGCGTCGCATGTCATTCATAATCTATTGCAATCACACTTGTGTAATGTCGCCATAATAAGATAGTCTTGTTGGCTGTTTTAGGGATGTGATACTCCTGTAGTTAGTGTGGGTCGACAGACCCCGGTGTCACCCACAGTATATGTCAACATTGTTTTCTATTTAATGACATACCTATGATCGTTTAAGTTCATCATGTATATGTTAAATCATAACTACTATGTACTGTTTTATGTATTAGTAGTAATAATAATAATAATAGTAATAATATATATAATGTATGTATATTATTAGTCGTATTTAGTATGTAATAGATTAGGTGCACACTCCATCCAGACGGCGCGCGCGCCGCCGTCCCGTCCCGTCCCGTCCCGCCTGTCCTGTCCCGTCCCGTCCCGCACCTCCCTTCGCGTCCCGCACCTCCCTTCGCGTCCCGCACCTCCCTCCGAGTCCCGCACCTCCCTCCGCGTCCCACCCGTCTCTCTCTCCGTCGCCCGTCTCCAAGCCAAAGCGAGCCGAGCCGCGACAGCCCGACCCGCCCCGACCCCGCCCCCCCCCCCCCCGACTCGCGCACGCCCGCGACCCGACCCAAGCGCGCGGACACCAAGCCCAAGCTGACCATGCACTATACTATACTATACTATACTATACTATACTATACTATACTATACTATACTATACTATACTATACTATACTATACTATACTATACTATACTATACTATACTATACTATACTATACTATACATTTCACTACAAAACCATATCTATATCTGTCGCTACCGCAAGTAGGGTAAATAACTTGCGTTGAAATCAGGTGACATTACCCTTTATTTTGCACGCTGGAGGTAAGTCATACATTGTTTATTACATCATCCGCAGGGTTAAGGTTTCATAGTCGTCGCTATTAATATGATTACGCACATTCATTCATTGATTCATTCATTGTTTTCATCATGTTTTCAAGTGTTCTTTGTGAGATTTGGGTGGTCCTGAAAAGGACCGTTGGATGTAAGTATAAGTTCTAATGAACTGTCTACTTGAGCTGGTGTACTTGGTGACAGCCTTGGTGCCCTCAGAGACGGCGTGCTTGGCCAGTTCACCGGGGAGGAGGAGGCGGACAGCAGTTTGTATCTCCCGAGAGGTGATGGTGGATCGCTTGTTGTAATGGGCGAGACGGGATGCCTCAGCGGCGATTCTCTCGAAGATATCGTTAACAAAGCTGTTCATGATGGACATAGCCTTGCTGCTGATACCGGTATCAGGGTGGACCTGTTTCAACACCTTGTAGATGTAGATGCTGTAACTTTCCTTCCTCCTCCTCTTCTTCTTCTTGTCGCCGACGCGGGCGGCCTTTGCCTTACCGGCCTTCTTTGCTCCTTTAGAACTAACTTTGGGTGGCATGTTGAGTTACTCAAGCAGTGCTAGAATAATGTAGGGCCGCCGACTGGCGAACGCTTATATACGGCAAGAAACAGGATCGAAATCTACCAGCGGCGATAGCTCGCGCGGACGTCGTAGAAGACAACCTCCCGCCCCGCTACCTTGGATTTCGATCCGGTTTGCGCTGAGTATAAAAGGGAGGGTTGTGGGAACAGTCTCGCTATTCGTTTTGCATCTCTACAGACAATAAGCGACAATGTCAGGACGTGGTAAAGGCGGAAAAGTAAAGGGCAAGTCCAAGTCCCGATCCTCCCGGGCCGGACTTCAGTTCCCCGTTGGACGTATCCACCGTCTCCTCCGTAAAGGCAACTATGCCGAGCGCGTGGGTGCCGGAGCCCCAGTCTACCTGGCTGCCGTTCTGGAATACCTCGCCGCTGAGGTTCTCGAGTTGGCAGGTAACGCCGCCAGAGACAACAAGAAGACCAGAATCATCCCCAGACATCTGCAGCTGGCCATCAGGAACGACGAGGAGTTGAACAAGCTTCTGTCCGGAGTAACCATCGCCCAGGGTGGTGTCCTCCCCAACATCCAGGCTGTTCTTCTCCCCAAGAAGACCCAGAAGTCTGCTGGAAAGTAAATTTTCTGCCAGCTTATCCAACGGTCCTTTTCAGGACCACCAAATCTCACAAAAGAATGCTTGAAAACTCGATGAAAAACAAGTAAATGCTTGCAAATATAACTCCCTGACCTATTCCTCCCTAACTACTTTACTCCATATAAATTTTAATAGCATCGCAAATCACAACACAACACAACACCAGAAAGACAGACAGACAGACAGACAGACAGACAGACATAAACTACAACACTTCTCTTAACACGGCGGGGCTTGTGCTGAATTAAAAGGGGGAGTACACGCACGGTATACCCGTCTGTTCGGTTTTCAAAATTGACACTCGAACAACCCAAGTTTCTGAACCCTAACAACACACACACACCCTCCACCCCAACACACACACCCCACCCCCAGAACCGTACACCCCTAACACACTAGGCCCCTAACCCTAGCTAACCCTAACCCTAACCCTAACCCTAACCCTAAAGCTAGCTACATACAATAACTACTATTCTTCCTTCCCTGTAATATGGCCGATAATTTGCATTATCAGTCAGCTGTTATACTGTATATTCAAAACTATCGAAAATGTATATTTGTTTGTCGTGGGCTTGTTCCACGAAAATACCAAGAGCTCTCCCTCCACGTACAGTGTAAGGGGACAACTCTTGGGGTTTTATCAGAGAAATATCAGGAGCGTGTGCTGTGTGCCGACAGAAATACTGTAGTACATTCACAAATGCAGAATGTGATAAACTTTTGCAAGTGTGCAATGCATAGGTGTGCGTCGGATGAGGGTTAGGGTTATTAATTTGTACATTCGTAATGAAGCCGTTATAAGTGTACAATGTATAGCTATGGATCGACTGTGTGTTATGGCTAGGGTTGGGTGTTGGTGTGGGTGTGGGCTTGGGGCTGGCTCTTTATATATGCACGTGTGTGTGTGTGTGTGTCTTTGTTTTACATCTCGTAATATTGTGTGTGTATGTATGTATGTATGTGTCGGGGGCGGCTCTATTCATGTTCACCCATTCCTTGTGACTATTAGAATTATTTATTTTAGCTGATGGTGTTAGGTTTTCAACCATGTGATCAAGCATTCTTTTGTGACATTTGGTGGTCCTGAAAAGGACCGTTATGATAGTTGTGAGCAGACTGCTGTTTAAGCTCTCTCCCCACGGATACGGCGGGCCAGCTGGATGTCCTTGGGCATGATGGTGACACGCTTGGCGTGGATGGCGCACGTTAGTGTCCTCAAACAGACCAACAAGGTAAGCCTCGGAAGCCTCCTGCAGAGCCATGACTGCTGAAGACTGGAAACGGAGGTCAGTCTTGAAGTCCTGGGCGATTTCACGGACCAGACGCTGGAAGGGCAGCTTTCTGATCAAAAGCTCAGTGCTCTTCTGGTAACGACGGATCTCACGAAGAGCTACGGTACCGGGCCTGTATCTGTGAGGTTTCTTTACACCTCCGGTAGCCGGGGCGCTCTTACGAGCAGCCTTGGTGGCCAGTTGTTTACGGGGAGCCTTTCCTCCGGTGGATTTACGGGCTGTCTGTTTTGTACGTGCCATCTCGATTCACAAGTGAAACTGAGGCACACAACTCTACTGCTCGCTCTCTTGAAGTCGGACTTGCGCGGGGAAGCCAGTGATTGGTCTATAATCAGCTGTCCTGATTGGCTGTGTTTACGTTCGCTCTCGTACGGTTAAGCCCCGTCTGTGTTAGTGAGTTTGTACAGCAAATGGCTGTCTAAGCACTCTGCCGAGGCCTGATAACAACGTGATTTCTTGTCACAACTGGCTATAAACATCGCTAAAACACCTAAAACTTATACATACCATAGGAAATGGTAATAAATAGCCACCTGTGAAAAATATACACATACGAATATGTATTTTCGTGTATAAAGTGTAAAACACCAAACGTAATGCTTGGTTGTCTTCTCACAGGTCGCGCGCGTGCTATATAAAGTCACATTGCGCTGGCGAGGGCATTCAGTCTGTATTTCACAGCGCAATCATGTCTGGTCGTGGTAAAGGAGGTAAAGGTCTTGAAAGGGGGCGCTAAGCGTCACAGGAAGGTTTTGCGTGATAACATCCAGGGTATCACTCAAGCCCGCCATCCGTCGTCTGGCAAGAAGAGGTGGTGTAAAGCGTATCTCTGGTCTGATCTACGAAGAGACTCCGTGGTGTACTCAAGGTTTTCCTTGAGAATGTCATCCGTGATGCCGTCACCTACACCGAGCATGCTAAGAGGAAGACAGTCACTGCCATGGATGTCGTCTACGCTTTGAAACGCCAGGGACGTACCCTCTACGGATTCGGAGGTTGAAAACTTTGTTTTCACCAACACTCACAACGGTCCTTTTCAGGACCACCAAATTTCACAAAAGAATGCTTTTAGCATGTGATGAAAACAGTTACGTCTTTGATATGTACGTGATTTGAAACACAACAACGAAAACAATACCTAAACATTCTATTATTTTATTTAAATGCGTGAAAAGTATTTAGTTTGTAGTTCGTTATACACCACAATATTTATTAATCCCCGTGCTTACCCCTCAGTAATATGGACACCTGGCATTCAGGAAGTGAATGTCTAGTTTTTCGTAATGGGTGTATGGAATCGCACACCTACATAGATGCAAATAAACAAACTAAACAAACTAAACAAACTAATCAACCAATCAACGAATCAAGCGTCTATCAGAAGTGATTCACACCATATAGCAACCTGCAGTTGTGATTCTTGTAATCGGTACGCCGGTAACCCCGGTGTAGTAAGCGTCGCATGTCATTCATAATCTATTGCAATCACACTTGTGTAATGTCGCCATAATAAGATAGTCTTGTTGGCTGTTTTAGGGATGTGATACTCCCTGTAGTTAGTGTGGGTCGACAGACCCCGGTGTCACCCACAGTATATGTCAACATTGTTTTCTATTTAATGACATACCTATGATCGTTTAAGTTCATCATGTATATGTTAAATCATAACTACTATGTACTGTTTTATGTATTAGTAGTAATAATAATAATAATAGTAATAATATATATAATGTATGTATATTATTAGTCGTATTTAGTATGTAATAGATTAGGTGCACACTCCATCCAGACGCGCGCGCGCCCGTCCCGTCCCGTCCCGTCCCCCTGTCCTGTCCCGTCCCGTCCCCCACCTCCCGTCCCGCACCTCCCTTCGCGTCCCGCACCTCCCTCCGAGTCCCGCACCTCCCTCCGCGTCCCACCCGTCTCTCTCTCCGTCGCCCGTCTCCAAGCCAAAGCGAGCCGAGCCGCGACAGCCCGACCCGACCCGACCCGCCCCGCCCGACCCGACTCGCGACGCGCGGCCCCCCGACCCGACCCAAGCGCGGACACCAAGCCCAAGCTGACCATGCACTATACTATACTATACTATACTATACTATACTATACTATACTATACTATACTATACTATACTATACTATACTATACTATACTATACTATACTATACTATACTATACTATACATTTCACTACAAAACCATATCTATATCTGTCGCTACCGCAAGTAGGGTAAATAACTTGCGTTGAAATCAGGTGACATTACCCTTTATTTTGCACGCTGGAGGTAAGTCATACATTGTTTATTACATCATCCGCAGGGTTAAGGTTTCATAGTCGTCGCTATTAATATGATTACGCACATTCATTCATTGATTCATTCATTGTTTTCATCATGTTTTCAAGTGTTCTTTTGTGAGATTTGGGTGGTCCTGAAAAGGACCGTTGGATGTAAGTATAAGTTCTAATGAACTGTCTACTTGGAGCTGGTGTACTTGGTGACAGCCTTGGTGCCCTCAGAGACGGCGTGCTTGGCCAGTTCACCGGGGAGGAGGAGGCGGACAGCAGTTTGTATCTCCCGAGAGGTGATGGTGGATCGCTTGTTGTAATGGGCGAGACGGGATGCCTCAGCGGCGATTCTCTCGAAGATATCGTTAACAAAGCTGTTCATGATGGACATAGCCTTGCTGCTGATACCGGTATCAGGGTGGACCTGTTTCAACACCTTGTAGATGTAGATGCTGTAACTTTCCTTCCTCCTCCTCTTCTTCTTCTTGTCGCCGACGCGGGCGGCCTTTGCCTTACCGGCCTTCTTTGCTCCTTTAGAACTAACTTTGGGTGGCATGTTGAGTTACTCAAGCAGTGCTAGAATAATGTAGGGCCGCCGACTGGCGAACGCTTATATACGGCAAGAAACAGGATCGAAATCTACCAGCGGCGATAGCTCGCGCGGACGTCGTAGAAGACAACCTCCCGCCCCGCTACCTTGGATTTCGATCCGGTTTGCGCTGAGTATAAAAGGGAGGGTTGTGGGAACAGTCTCGCTATTCGTTTTGCATCTCTACAGACAATAAGCGACAATGTCAGGACGTGGTAAAGGCGGAAAAGTAAAGGGCAAGTCCAAGTCCCGATCCTCCCGGGCCGGACTTCAGTTCCCCGTTGGACGTATCCACCGTCTCCTCCGTAAAGGCAACTATGCCGAGCGCGTGGGTGCCGGAGCCCCAGTCTACCTGGCTGCCGTTCTGGAATACCTCGCCGCTGAGGTTCTCGAGTTGGCAGGTAACGCCGCCAGAGACAACAAGAAGACCAGAATCATCCCCAGACATCTGCAGCTGGCCATCAGGAACGACGAGGAGTTGAACAAGCTTCTGTCCGGAGTAACCATCGCCCAGGGTGGTGTCCTCCCAACATCCAGGCTGTTCTTCTCCCCAAGAAGACCCAGAAGTCTGCTGGAAAGTAAATTTTCTGCCAGCTTTTATCCAACGGTCCTTTTCAGGACCACCAAATCTCACAAAAGAATGCTTGAAAACTCGATGAAAACAAGTAAATGCTTGCAAATATAACTCCCTGACCTATTCCTCCCTAACTACTTTACTCCATATAAATTTTAATAGCATCGCAAATCACAACACAACACAACACAAGAAAGACAGACAGACAGACAGACAGACAGACAGACATAAACTACAACAACACTCTTAACACGGCGGGGCTTGTGCTGAATTAAAAGGTGGGGGGGGGGGGAGTACACGCACGGGTATACCCGTCTGTTCGGTTTTCAAAATTGACACTCGAACAACCCAAGTTTCTGAACCCTAACACACACACACACCCTCCACCCCAACACACACACCCCACCCCCAGAACCGTACACCCCCTAACACTAGGCCCCTAACCCTAGCTAACCCTAACCCTAACCCTAACCCTAACCCTAACGCTAGCTACATACAATAACTACTATTCTTCCTTCCCTGCAATATGGCCGATAATTTGCATTATCAGTCAGCTGTTATACTGTATATTCAAAAACTATCGAAAATGTATATTTGTTTGTCGTGGGCTTGTTCCACGAAAATACCAAGAGCTCTCCCTCCACGTACAGTGTAAGGGGGACAACTCTTGGGGTTTTATCAGAGAAATATCAGGAGCGTGTGCTGTGTGCCGACAGAAATACTGTAGTACATTCACAAATGCAGAATGTGATAAACTTTTGCAAGTGTGCAATGCATAGGTGTGCGTCGGATGAGGGTTAGGGTTATTAATTTGTACATCTCGTAATGAAGCCGTTATAAGTGTACAATGTATAGCTATGGATCGACTGTGTGTTATGGCTAGGGTTGGGTGTTGGGTGTGGGTGTGGGCTTGGGGCTGGCTCTTTATATATGCACGTGTGTGTGTGTGTGTGTGTCTTTGTTTTACATTCGTAATATTGTGTGTGTATGTATGTATGTATGTGTCGGGGGTCGGCTCTATTCATGTTCACCCATTCCTTGTGACTATTAGAATTATTTATTTTAGCTGATGGTGTTAGGTTTTCAACCATGTGATCAAGCATTCTTTGTGACATTTGGTGGTCCTGAAAAGGACCGTTATGATAGTTGTGAGCAGACTGCTGTTTAAGCTCTCCCCACGGATACGGCGGGCCAGCTGGATGTCCTTGGGCATGATGGTGACACGCTTGGCGTGGATGGCGCACAAGTTAGTGTCCTCAAACAGACCAACAAGGTAAGCCTCGGAAGCCTCCTGCAGAGCCATGACTGCTGAAGACTGGAAACGGAGGTCAGTCTTGAAGTCCTGGGCGATTTCACGGACCAGACGCTGGAAGGGCAGCTTTCTGATCAAAAGCTCAGTGCTCTTCTGGTAACGACGGATCTCACGAAGAGCTACGGTACCGGGCCTGTATCTGTGAGGTTTCTTTACACCTCCGGTAGCCGGGGCGCTCTTACGAGCAGCCTTGGTGGCCAGTTGTTTACGGGGAGCCTTTCCTCCGGTGGATTTACGGGCTGTCTGCTTTGTACGTGCCATCTCGATTCACAAGTGAAACTGAGGCACACAACTCTACTGCTCGCTCTCTTGAAGTCGGACTTGCGCGGGGAAGCCAGTGATTGGTCTATAATCAGCTGTCCTGATTGGCTGTGTTTACGTTCGCTCTCGTACGGTTAAGCCCCGTCTGTGTTAGTGAGTTTGTACAGCAAATGGCTGTCTAAGCACTCTGCCGAGGCCTGATAACAACGTGATTTCTTGTCACAACTGGCTATAAACATCGCTAAAACACCTAAAAACTTATACATACCATAGGAAATGGTAATAAATAGCCACCTGTGAAAAATATACACATACGAATATGTATTTTCGTGTATAAAGTGTAAAAACACCAAACGTAATGCTTGGTTGTCTTCTCACAGGTCCGCGCGCGTGCTATATAAAGTCACATTGCGCTGGCGAGGGCATTCAGTCTGTATTTCTCACAGCGCAATCATGTCTGGTCGTGGTAAAGGAGGTAAAGGTCTTGGAAAGGGGGGCGCTAAGCGTCACAGGAAGGTTTTGCGTGATAACATCCAGGGTATCACCAAGCCCGCCATCCGTCGTCTGGCAAGAAGAGGTGGTGTAAAGCGTATCTCTGGTCTGATCTACGAAGAGACCCGTGGTGTACTCAAGGTTTTCCTTGAGAATGTCATCCGTGATGCCGTCACCTACA